ATTTGGCACATACCCTTCCAGATGTCAATACCATTTTTCCTTGAACAATGCAGGGCTTAGGGGCACACATACAACCCCCCCCCCCATACACACACACAGCTGAAAATCTTGAGTATAACTTTTCTCTCCCCAGAAACTATTAATAGCCTACTACTGACATGAAGCATAATTATGGAAAACATAAACAGTCAATATACGTATTTTGTATATGTTATATACTGTATTCTTACAGTAAAGCAAGCTATAGGAAAGAAATTAAGAAAATCATGAGAAAATACAGTACAGTACTGTACAACACAAACAAAAACCTGTGTATAAGTGGACCCAAGTAGTTCAAAGCCCTATTGTTCAAGGATCAAGTGTATTATTTGTTTTTTAACCAAAATGGAATTGCTTTTAAACCTACTTTTTCACTTAACATATGTCAAGACATCTCTTCATGACTTTACCTTCTTCTAACATCATATTTTAATAGCTAGGCAGTACCCCACTGTGAATATGTACCCTAACAATCATTGTTAAACATTCAGGTTGTGTACAATTTTACAGTACAGTGATCAAGAGTTACTGACTCTGGAATCAAACTGCTTGGATCCAAGTCCTGGCTCTACCACATACTAACTCTGCTCCTTTAGATAAGCTACCTCACCTCTCTATGCCTGTTTTCTCTTCGGAAAAATGAAGGTATTTTCTACTTCGTATAATTAATGTGGGACGGGGGGGTCAAATGTTAATACACAGCTTTTACTATCAACAGTGCTGCAATTAGTATGCTCAGAGCTAAATCTTTGCACACACCCTTATTCTTATTACATCAAGAAAAATTCCCTTAAATGAAAATTCCCATGTCAGAAGGTATGACCATTCTTAAGGCTTTGAGTCTGCCAAATTACAGCTGGGTTTAAAGCCCTCATCAAATAGCTCTCTCACTTAATACTCATTTCTCTTCATCCAAGAAGGTGAAAACTGTGATCCAGTTAACAGCTGTTTCACTCAATTAGTTTTCGCTCTTCTACTTCTGTACCGCAAACCTAGACCTGTTATCATAAAAACTCAAAATTTTGTAGGAAACTTTAGGACGCCTAGCCCAAATCCTCATTCAGCATATTAATTCCTCCACCCTAGAATCCCTAACTGTACATCATCAGTGAAAGTAGAGAGCCTACCACCCAAACCAACCCATTATATTTTTACTGTTTCATGGAAATTTCTCTTGAAAGAATGTTGAAACCTGCCTCCTCCTACTACTCACTGATCCTAGTTCTTTCTACGCAGATCAAATCTGATCTTTCTGTGTGATAGACCTTTAAGTATTTACAGATAGCTATCATTTCTTAGATGAGCTTCTTTCTCTTCTTTGAGCCAAACAGGGCATTTTTCAGCCTTTTCTCCTTTCCTCATGTCCATTTCCTCCATGATCAAGGTCCTCTGGATATGCTGTATAGCTCACTGGTTTATAAACTTGAGTGTCTACCACCTGGGGAACTTGAAAAAAATACAGTGGCCCAGGTCCTATCCTACTTAGGCTTCGGCCTCCATGTTTCTGCTCTCCAGGTGATTGTATATGAAGTCTGAGAACTGATGCAAGGGCCATGCGTATTGTGACAGTATTCTACCTGAAAAACCGACACAATATCCCAGGTATAATACAACCAATACAAGTAAAGCAGAGATAACACCTGCTCTTTCTACGTTGTTCTACCAACTCCAAAATGACATTTACTTTAAAAAATATTATACCATAGTGTTGACTCACGGTAAACATACAGTTAAAATTATCTGACTCTTTTCCACATTCTCTATTTGTGCACTAGCACCTTGGGCTCTAACTGCCAGCCTTTCCAATTATTCCCATTAAAAGATTAAGAGAACCAGGACAAAGAGTTTTAGACTCCTATTTCTAAATGTATCAATGACTGCATATGGATTCACCTTCAGTGGAGAAATCATTTCAAGCTTTAGCCTCTACACTTCCATCATGGACATACTTAAGTCTAAATTCAAGTATACTAGCCCATAAAACAACTGAACTGACAGCTGATTGCAACAACACATCTACTCTGTGCAAAACACTGTTATGAACAAGGTGGGAAAACATACAGGCCTTAATACTAGTACACAGACCTTCTGGAGAGCATGATGGAATAACACCTTCAAAAAAGTTAAGTCTAATACCAAGATAGACGTGTTAATGCTATAGAAATTAATGACTACTAGTTGGAAAGCTCTGGGGCCAAAGAAATACTAGAAAACTAAGTTACCCTGAACTTTAACGTTTCATTTCCCTTTTTTTTTTTTTTTTTTTTTTTTTTAAATATTTACAAGACAGAGAGAAGATGGACCATCAGTGAATTCATCCACACTTAGGCTACTTTCAAAGGGACACTGCACCCTCAAAAATACACACTCAAAATAAATTCATGATTCAAAATTTCATGAGTTCTGAATTCGTGATTTGTTTGCCTTACCTGTCCCTAACTTATGAGGTACTCAAGAGGAGGAAGAAAAAAAAAAAAAAAAAAAAAAAAAAAAAAGGCCATTCTACAGATGAGGCCCATTATAAATACATCTTAGAGATGCTGGGTGAGGGGGAGATCCCATCTGATATTTATTTTCATTTGCATGGCAAACATCAAAAATATACCTGGCATTTTCAAACAATTATGTCAGGAATGACCAGATGCTTCCTGTTGATGGAACAGTAGAGAACTACAGCCTGACAGAATCAAACTAGAGTTCACAGAAACAACTGGAAATGAATTTAGCTTCATTTCAAAACCATTAAACCAAAGTATGGCCTTACATTTTCGCACATTTACAGCATAACTGGCCCCCAACCTAAAACACCCAGATTGACAGAAACAGACAGAGAACTCAAACTCTAACTTAGGAGACTTAACTCTAAATATATGTATCTACATCACAAAAGTATTGTTTGACCAAATGTTTCACTGCAGGATTCCTTTTAAATGGAGAGGTCCTGCAGTGCTTTGACAGTGTCCCTTCTTCAAATATTACATTTACACACAAGTTTTCACAGATACATCTAATATGGAATTCATATTTTACTTCCATAGATTAAGATGTGGAACTAAAAATTAAGGTTAGTCACTTAAAATATTTTCCTGAGTCTCCAGGATATGTACATTAAGCAAACTTTACTCTTGATACTGTTTATATATCTAAATACCAAATTAAAAAACTTAGAACCCAAGACAAAAGTATAGGAATCAATCTTCCTAACCATATTTTTAAAATGTATCTTGTTTAATATACTCATTTGACATGTATGGTGACAGGATAAAAATGACAAATTTCTCAGTTAAAAAAAAAAGTCATAAGCATACAGTGGGGTTCTGGGAGTTTTCAGAAGTTACATGGTGTGATACCACAACAGACTGAATGCAGATTTAAAGATCTAGCTGTCTTGTATTAAAGCAGACATTTAAAAGACTTGCAGAAATGCAAAATAATGTCAACTCTTGCCAATATGTGACTTGTGTTAACATGTAATGGAATTTTATTGCTGTTATTTTGGGGAAAATACTTAAAAAGACAGAATTTTTAAAACGCATAAAGCCATCTTTAATTTCCTTAAATTCAAAGTCTGACTCTGAAAGTGGAAGTGTCAAGGCTGACGTTATGGGTCACTGCGAACACATTTAAACCAAGCTGGGTGGGTCTACAAGTGAAATAAAGTATCTGCAAAAAGAATTTAAGACTACTAACATCTGCATAATAAATTACAGCGCATCTTTAATTCTGGAATGGAAAATTACAAGGATTATTTACGGACTACATCAAAAACATTTTCCAGATAAAAACTATACTTCAGGGGGAAAAAAATGTACTTCAGAAAGTAACTTGCCTGAATCCAGACAGCAAATCAGTCTTCGGAGAGAGTACTTAAAATATTTCCACATTACCAAGCCCCCTTCAAAAGTACTGTGGTCGCTACCCGTCCTTTGAGCAGACGTCTGCTCGCCACAGTCCAATCAGGTTTAAAACAAGAGTATGTGTACAGAAAACAAGCTTAAAGTGGGGAAACACACACAAAGCAGGCCTCTATAATTCCTTCGGTTTCAGTTTTCACGATGCACCCCTGAGGCTACGCACGCTGATTCAACACGGCAGCACAGCTTCAACGAAGCACACTAAATACACACTGATTTCACTGTGTCCAGGCAGAAATGACCTGGCAAAATTCTCAACTTCTTTTCCGAAGCAGTGCACCCGCCCGGCGGCCAAGTCCCAAGAGCAGAAGTCTCGAGCATCCAGAACCGCGGGCTTTGTCCCCTCAGGGACTTGAGTCCCCGAGGTCGTGGCAGTAGCCGCGATCGTCCCCGCGCGGGCTGGGCCCGGCCCTCTGGTTAACCCTGTCCGGGCCGGCCGCTCCCGCGGCGGCCCGAGCGCCTCCCGGTCCCGCAGGCCCCGCAGCACACCGCGCCCCGGACCGGCCGCCCCCGCCGCCCCTTCTTCGCTCCGGGTAGGCTGGCGGGGCCGCCAGGCCGCCGAGACAAAGAGGCCGGCAGTTCCCGGAGCGGCGGGCGCCGAGGCCCGGCCGGGCCGCGCCAGCCTGCCTCCCTTCCTCTGCCGCCAACCGCCCGCCTCCCGGCGCCCGCAGAGCCCCCGCCGCCCCGGCTCGACCCCATCCCCGCCCCGGGGCCGCCGGCCGGGATCCGGCCGGCTGTGAGGCCGCGGCGCGCCGGGGCCGAGGAGGGGGCGGCGGCCGCCACCATGTCTGCCCGCCCCTCCCAGAAGCGGGGTGCCAGCGGACAAAGCGCGGCTGCGGCGCGGGCGGAGCGGGCGTCCAGGCCGACCCCGCCGACCCCCGCGGAATAAGCGGGGCCAGGAGCCCCGGAAACCCGGCGCCTTAATGCAATAAACAGGAAATCGCGGGGATGATCTGGGTTCCGGGGGAAGTGGAATTATTTTTTACCAGCGAAGAGATCAACTTCCACATCCGGTGGTAACAGGGCCCTACACAGACCCGCACTGACCTGGAAAAGCTTCGGGAGCGGCGACGGGGGAGCAGCAGGAGGTGGTGCGGGGACCCGAGGCGCCTCGTACCCGGCCGGGCTGACGCGGCCCCGCTACACACAAAGCGCTTCAGCTGCACAGGGCGCTATTTTCCGAAAATGCCGCGTCTGGTCGGCGCCCAAAATCCCCACCGAAAAGTCCCCCGTGCTGCGCGCGGAGGGACACATGGTGTGCGAGTGAGTCAAAGCTCCCAGCATCCCTCCCGGACCCGGCCCTTGTCAAGCCCTAGCCTGAGCCTTTCCGCCCCTGCCTTCGGTCGCAGATCGCTCCCCCACTCACTCCCTGACCCCATTCTAGCAGGAGGAAAGGGACGACAGATCTGATTTTTCTTTTTAACGGTCGAGAGGGAAATATGCAATTTGTAGAGCTTGAGCCACACAAAGAAAGCGGCGGAATGATCCGCTCTCGGCGACCGCAAGTCCCGGCTCGCCCGGCGCCTGCGCGGCACGGGGGTGGGAGCTGCGGCCGGCCATGTGCGCGGTGGAGCAGTCCGGCTGGTGGCCGAGTCTTCCCGCCTCTTTCTGCGGGGGCTGGCGGTTGGGATACTAAAGTGCGTGTTCCTACCTTCTTTTCTCTCTGACAAGACCGCCGAGACGGGGAATCCCCACTCCGAGGTTAACCAGAGTCGCCTAGCAGAGTCCTGGGAGACGGAAGAGCAGCCAGCAGGCTAGGATTTAACTTAAAGTGGCCCCAGATTCAATTAGCCAGATTGGGACAGGAGTAGCGGTTGAGGTACAAGAGGAGGAACGAAGGATGGTCCTTCTCCACTTCCATAAATTGAGCAGTCAGGTTCATGACGAAGACGTACTTATTTCTATAGCCTTTTTTTGTTTGTTTGTTTAACATACCGGTGGTGTCACAGGCGTCTCGTACTTAAGCGACCCTAAAATAATTGCTTGCTAATTTTCCTTGGATTACTGTCACCTCGGAGGTAGAGGTCTGTGTTTCCGTGGCTGGAATGTCAAGATTTTTGTTGTGTTGTATTTTATTAAGAAAGTAGCAAAAGTTTATTTGGAGGTGGTAATTTACAAAGTAAAAGTCTTTGGAAATTAATTTACTTGTGATGATTTGCTAAGAAATCCAACACACCGGTATGTTTTTAACAGATAAGCTTAAGAATGACTTTCCTACGTGGCTTTCCCAAGTTGCTAACGTGCAAATTTTGGCTTCCTATATTTAGGAGTTGGTAATATCTGAGACAGCGCCAAGAGTTCAGTCTAGGAGAGTTTACAAGCTTGAATGAAATCCATATTACTTTTTGATTTTGTGATTACTTCAGATAAGTAATTTATCTCCAGTTATCCTTTTGTGATATTGACGTGGTAAAGGCTTGTAAGTCTTTAACTTATTAAAACATTTTGCCTAAAACAGAAGCAAAGTGGCATAGGAGCCATATTGTTTTCTTTTGATGTAATGTTTTCAAGGCTTCAGTTGATAAAAACTTGTCAAGTTTTTGATATCATATGCTTTAACATTGAGTTGATTGGAGTAAACGTTGAACTAATGATTGTTACGGAATCCTTGCCCTCCTTGATCTGCCATAGAGCGCAGACAAGTAAATAGGAAACATCAGTAGTAAATCAGGGTAAACTGCTGAATACTGCGAAATCCCATACAGGAGAAATCCTTTACTCACATGGGAGGGAGGACTGGGGAAGCAATTAGCTTTAATAAGGAATTGGGGAAGAGTCTTCCAGGCAGAGGATGCAATGCATGCAAAGTTGGGAGACAAACTTTGAAGAGAGTGTTGAGTAAAGAAGATAATGCTGTTTTAGGAGTGCCTAGAGATGTTCTTGAAGACGTTTAATCGTGAAGACCTTGAGTGGTATGTGCAGAGATTAGCTTTTGAGAGCAAAGAGGAACCCGTTAAGTGTCATAGAAATGGATTTGCATGGTAGGCAGATCAGACTTCTGCAAAACTCAGAGGCATGGAAAACAGTTTGGAAAAAACAGTAATATGTGAGAGAGTAATGCCTTGGACGGAGATAGTGACAACTAGTGTAAAGAGTGTGGCCAAAGTAGTTATTGAGAGTTTGGTGATTTGGTTGAGCGGGTAAGGGAATGACAGAGGGAGATGTCAAAGATGACTCCCAGGTGTGTTGGGGGAGCAGTTGGAAAGATGGTCCTGTCTTCACTGAGATTAGAAACAGGGAAGAAGAGTAACATGTTATAAGGTTCTGTTTTGACCTGGTTGAATTTGAAGTGTTTGTGAGACAGCCAAGCAGAGATGTCTGGCAGGCAATTAGATATTCACTGAAGTTGTTTCATGAGCACCCTTCTGTAACTGGCACTGTTGTAAATACTGGAATAGATTAAGCAGCAACAAAACCAACAAGGTTCCTGCTCCTGTTGCTAGTGCAAGGAACAGACCATAAGTAAGTTTTACAAAAGGAAAGATAGTATCTTATAATATGCTCCATTAAGAAAATAAAAGGGTATTTGAATAAAGTGTTTCTCTAGGGGAGAGAACAGGCAAAATTTTGGAGGTTGATCAAGATAAAGCTTCTTGGTTGATCAAGAGAAGGTATTCTCTGAGCTAAGACCTAAATGGGAATAAGGGCAGTATTTGAGGCCAAAGGGAATAGCAGAGCAAAATCCTAAGGTGAGAAAGAGTTTGTTGTGCATAGCAAGGAGGTCAATGTAACAAGTTTAGAAAGCAAGAATGGTAGAAGTAGTTGGCTGCCTTGGTAAGTTTAAGTGTGGTAGAAGGTATCAAAGGGTTTTAGGAAAGGAGTAACATGGTTGGTAGCAATAGAGAAAAGGTGGATAATTTGAAGATATATTTGGTGATTAGACCTGACCTGTATTGCTAATGAGTTGACATGAGTGAGGGAACGGGAAGAATCCAGAGTTATTCTTAGGTTTGGGCATGATTATCTAGGCTAGCGCTGTCCAATATAAATATAAAACAAACCACATATGTAAGTTTATAGTAGCCAGACACATTAAAAAAGAAACCATTGCAGTTAATTTTAATTTAATTTTAATCCAGTATAGTCAAAATAGTATCATTTCATATGTGATCAATATTTAAAAATATTAAATGTTTTTAAATGTTTTGCAGTCTTTTTCTCATTACTAAGTATGTGTTCAAAATCTGGTGTGTATTTTATATTTAAACATACCTCAATACTTGATTCCATAAAATTTACAGTTGAAAAAGTAGATTAACATGCCCAATCATTCTGAACATACTTAAAAGTTTTGCAGTATTTGAATTATGTATCATTTGTTATTTAATTTTAAATTAAAGATTAAAATTATAATTCCTAAATTAGTCACATTTTAAGTGCTCAATAGCCACATGGCTAGTAGCTACTATATTGGACAGTGCAGTCTAGTGGAAAATCAGAGTAAAAAAGTTGTGTGGAACCAGCCTGGAAGGCCTTGGATACCATGTTAAAGGATAGGGATTTTATCTTAGATACAAGGGGAATAATAGACGGTTTTTGAGCTAGAGTGACTCAATGTTGTACTTAAGGCTAGAAAAAAACAGTAGGGGGCGCCTGTGTGGCTCAGTCAGTTAAGCGCCCAAAAGTTGGTTTTGGTTCAGGTGGTGATCTCAGGGTTTCCTGGGTTTAAGCCCCACATGAGGCTTTACAGTGCAGAGCCTACTTGAGATTTTCCCTCCCTCTCTCTCTCTGCCCGTCTCTGACTCGTGCTGTCTTGGTCTCTCTCAAAATAAATAAATAAACTTTAAAAAAGAAAAAAAAAAAAACAGTAGGTGTCTAGCTGGTGACTCAGGAACAAGAGCAACTTCAGTTCAGTCCCACTTTCCAGGCTCTAACCTCAGCCCTTCAGATTCAGAAGTATGATTTTTGTCAGTGCTCCAGAGTAGTGCTACCAAAGTATGGTCCACAGGGTAATGCCAGTCTGCAAACCCTTTGCTATTGTTCCTAGACAAGGCATTTACACAAAGTGAATAAGAATTTGGAAACTTACAGTAATTGAAGACTAGTTTTATGTCTGTGGATCTGTATTGTTTTATATGTCTTTGTTTAAATAGCTTTTTCTAGTAATTCATATTTAATAGAGGTACCTATGATCTTTCACCAGAGAGAAATTTTTTTTTTGATGATGAGAGGTTTTGGGTTTGTTTTTTTCCCCCCAGATATGCAAACTGTGTGTCCTCTATGCCATTAAGATCATCTTTTTTTCTCTTATGTTACTGTTAAATAATGCCTTTTTTTCTAGGTGTCAGTGAAAGCCAACTCCTTTCTTTTTATTTCATATCTTCACACTTCTGAATCACCGATTTAAGCACACTGACCTGATCACATGTCACTTGGCCCTTGTCTACATAGTTATGCTCCCCCACTGTACTGTTTGTTGTTTGCAGACCTCTTTGATTCATTGGGTTTTCAGAATGACTTCAACTGTTAGGCATTTTTCTATATGAACAGGGTGATAAGGAGACTCTCCTTCTGCACCATCTGCCTCCTGAGCATGCTCCAGGGCCATCACCATCAGCCTCTGCATCTCCTGGTTGACCAGGTTTAATATAAATTCACAAATTTGATTACCCATATTTTTTCTTCTTATGGTCCCTCAGTTTGTTGTGCAACAGTTACCTAATCTTCACTGCACCACAGGTAATTTGTGAAGCCCTGCTCTAGAGGTACTGAGACAGAGTCACAAGAACCAAATTCCCAGATTAACTAAAACAAATGCTTTTTTTTTTTTTAACTTTATAGTGAGAACTATAGCAGCTAAGAAAGGAATGGACATCTATCTGCTCATTTTCTCCCTCCATAGAGAAATGTAAGGCTACAAAGAAATAACCCAAATTTATAATAGCTACCACTTATTAAATGTTACTGTTTGCCAGCCACTGTGCAAAATTGGTTATAGATCTTGTGTCACGTTTAACCCTCACAACAACACTAAAAAAAATAGATATTATTAACCCCATTTTTCCAGTAAGGTAACAGAGGCCAAAATAGTCTAAATAACTTGCCTAAAGTCACAAAGCTGATAAATGTTAGGCAGGATTCCAATACAGGTCTCATTTCAAAACCATTGTTT